CGCCGCTCTGCCCGGTCCCTGGAGGCTCCGCGGTCCCCGCGTCTCGGCCCGTCTGCCCCGCAGCGCCCCTAAGGAAGGTCCCGCCCCTCTCCGCGCAGCCCCTGCCCCCAGCCTGGCGGGATCAGCTGCTGCTCTTCCTTCCTCCTCCCGGGCTGTGCTGCAGCCCAGCTCCCTCGCCCCTGGTTCAATTCTCATTTCTTCTCTTCACAACCACAGAGCGCCGCCTGCCTTGTTAAAACGGGTCTGAGTGCATCGCGCACACGCACGAGGGGCTCTTCGCAAGCGCGTTGTTCCATTCCCCAGTGTCCCCTCTTCCGGGGATTCCTGGCATCTCCCATAGGGATATGAAATACGATGAATTCTTATCGGTTAGAACTCAGCTATTCTATCGTCCTGGGGGTGGGACTGGCAGCCAGTGCGCTCTGGCCCCACTTCCGAGGAGTCCCCTGCAGTACAAGGTGCCAGGTGGGAGCTGGTCTGCCACAGGAGCCAATTTAAAAAACAGCTCCCCTTGAGGACCTGCCTTTCGCCCTGCTCTGGTACCTCTGATACAGAGGCAGCAGCGGGGTGGCAGCAGCCCCTGTCTGGGCATACTGGGGGGGGCAGGTCTGAGCTCCCAGACCTAGCACAAGCCAGAACTGAGCTGGGCTGCCTGCCTGCTTGGCTCCTAATACGCTTTAAATGCAGACCCGCAGTTGGGGTAGGTCCCAGATCAGCCAATGCTGAGCCGGGCTGCTGGCCAGCCTACTAAAAAATGTACTGGTGTTGGGGGGATGTGTGTAATCTATAGCAGTGGTCTACAACCTTTTTCCATTTGTGACCCCCATGCCACGACCCACAGGTTGCACACCACTGGTCTGTAGCATTAACAGATAAGCTTTTGCTTATCCATTGATTGACTAACTGTTACGTGCCTACCTCCCCAGTGATGGCAGCTAGTTGATCTGTAGACAATTACAACTTTAATGCTTAAAACTGCGGGTTCTACTCACTAAATGTTGGGGAGTATTTGCGTCTCCTCTACCTTTTCTGGCTTTTTGATTTCCACCAAAATCAGTAGGATTCTGCCCGTTGTTAGGATGTCAAATCCTGTTTGTTTGGCTAACAGGTTAAACATTTTGTTTAACTGATTAACCGATTAAAGGGCCAAGCGCAGAGGGGGAGCTCCAGCCTTGAGTTCCCATGCCTTTCTCCCCCACTCCCCTTCCCTGCTGGGCTGGAAGGCCCACCCAAAACAGCCCTTGCCTGCGGTCCTAATCTGAGCAGTCTCTGCTGAAGGGGCACCTGGGCCAGCTGCAGACAAGGTGCTCCTCAGAACACTGGAGTAGCCCCTGTCTGTGGTGCCCCCATGCCAGCCCCCACGGAGCACTCCCTGGCAGGTGGGGGGAGGTGTTACTTCAGCCCCATTGGTTAACTGGTTGAACTTAAGGTACATATTCTTTTCCTGTGCTTGGCTTTCCTCCTTTCCTGTAGGTATACTTTCCTCTGCTCCCTCACTCACTGTTCTATTCATTCACTGATACTTGTTGATTTATTTTTCATATTAAAACTTACTACTTATCCTTTCTCTACTCTGATTTTCTGCAGAACTGCATACTTTTGTCTGGAGGAGCAAATGGAGCCTTTCTTTCTCTGTGACAGGTATCTCCAGACCTGCTTTTCCACACCTATTAGCAGAGTACTTTTAGGTACTGCTTATTGGTTGCTGTATCACCTGTGGCCAGATGTCAGGGTTTCACGGGATCATAGTTGGGAGGTCCCAGCTGTCTTTTTGTGGGCTGATTGGCAGTGCTTTTGCTCAGTTACATCCTGAAGCACTCCACAATCTTCCCATAAGAAGTACTGCAGGTAGCTGGATTGGTAAATTCTTTAGTGGAATTAAACTCTTGACTAACATGATTCTTGCTTATGTGTGTGTAATTGAATTAATTACCAAATTTTGGGCTGGGAGCAGAGGGCGTGGAATACTAAACCTGCTTCCTTCTCCAATTATTTCCCCTCGGTTTTAACTTTGTAGTTGACAATTATTTTCCTGGCTGTTGCTGGGATTAACTTTCGGTAGATTTTATTGGGGCATGGATGTGATGTGAGAGAGTGCATGAGTATTCTCTCTATAATCCCTGTTGGCTCTGTTTAGCTCTGATACCAAACATTAGAAACAGATTATGTCCAGAATGAGGACATGTTGATGTGCAGAGTTGAAAAAAAAAAGTATTACAGCACACATGCGGGGGAATAACCTAATCATAAAGATGCATTTTGTTAAAGAATCAGGATGACAGTTTTCATATTACTTTTCAGTGAAGCTTTTTGGGATTTGCTGTCTCTTTCATTATCAATGGGTTCTAAGACATGGGTTTCCAAACTGGGGGAGCTTGAAGAAGTTCTGGGGGGGGGCTCAAGGTGACCCAGCCCCCTCCATCAATTCCCCTCCCCCCCCAAGAAAGAGCCCAGTCTGTCCATCTGTTTGGGCATCTGCTCAACAAGTTTTGCTGCTATATTTTTTTGGAGGGTGGGGACGTGAGGGTTTCTCAAAAATCAAAAAGGGGTCGTGATGTGGAAAAGTAACCACTGCTCGAAGTCATTAGTGGTAATCTTGCACTGTTTAAGATTGTGGGTTTTGAAAAGCACATCACCCTCCAGCAACGTAATATTAGTGGACTGCATTTAAGTATCGAGCAGAGTTCTTTGTCAATGTAACTATTCATTGTTTAAGTGTAACTTATGTCACTCAGGGAGGTAGCATAAATTAGGCAAACAAACTGATAGGGTAGACATAGCCTATGACACTTGAAAAGTCAAACTTTAATGAGCACTAAGCTTTACAACTAAAAATAATCTTACTGAGCTTTAAGAAGAATCTCTGCAACAGTTCCTATTTCTGAGTATGTCAACAGCAGACATCAGTAGAAGAACTCTTCACAGTAGAAGGGTACATCTAGACTACCGCGTTTTGTCGACGGAAGTTTTGTCGACAGTATCTGTCGACAAAACTTCCGTCGACAAAACGCGGTAGTCTAGATGTACCCTTCTACTGTGAAGAGTTCTTCTACTGATGTCTGCTGTTGACATACTCAGAAATAGGAACTGTTGCAGAGATTCTTCTTAAAGCTCAGTAAGATTATTTTTAGTTGTAAAGCTTAGTGCTCATTAAAGTTTGACTTTTCAAGTGTCATAGGCTATGTCTACCCTATCAGTTTGTTTGCCTAATTTATGCTACCTCCCTGAGTGACATAAGTTACACTTAAACAATGAATAGTTACATTGACATATACACAGGTGTGGACAGTGCTGTGCTGATCAAGAATGTCTTTCCCATTGACTTAGAGCAACTGTATTGGAGAGCTTGTGGTGGTGGTATATATAAAATTAAATAAAAGGTTGATTTCTGCTTAATCCACCATGCCCTGGAGGGGTCTGATAAATATCTTAAGCAGACTGGCTGTGGCCTGCAGTTTGGGTGTTGGAGGGAATTAACTTTAAAAACATCGTTTGATTGATATTGAAATATATTTTGTCTGTCTCAAAACCACTCTTGACTAAAAAGGAGATCTGTTTAAATTCTTAGGGGGACTAGACATCTTCCAGAAATTGTTTTTGTATAATCTTTTAACAAACTTTTGCTAGAGGCCATTTTGTTTTGTTTTGTTTTGTTTTGTTTTGTTTTGTTTTGAATCTTTCATTCACTGCTAGTTGGCACAAGCTAATTAACATCTCTAACTATTCTTGGTACTCTGCAAACTTTTGTAGCTTATTTAAGGCTGATCCATATCAAACACAAGACACAATTCCAGTGTATACTTAATCTAACTGTATGTTTAGTGCCAACTAGTTTAAAACAAATGCAGTTGGGTTTTAGATGTATCTGTACATAGTTCCATTTAGTTAGCACTAAACTCGTTCGTGTTAAGCAGCCACAACTTCTCAGTAAACTGTGTTGTTACTAATTTTTATGAAAGCTAAAACATGTTATTATACAAGTAATATCCTGTCTAGTATTACAACTCGTTTCATTGTGCTCTCACTGGTTCCACATCTCCAGAAATAAAACTCTCTCACTTCTCCTATCGTTATTTCTTAATGCTATCATAGGAACTAAAAAAGTAAGTACTCCTGGTCAATAACTTGTCACATCTGCTTTCATTTTTCCCAAGAAAATCACTGGATTGCATGTATTGGTGCTGGGAGTTTGTTCATATCAGTTATAAACTGGTCACTGTCAATTTAAGTTTTCTGTCTTCTAATAGAAATGACCATTCTTATAGGAGTTTAGTATTCACCGTACAACAGTTCATTTTGGTTTCATTTCTTTGGAGAACAAAATCTCTCATCTGGTTTTACATGGGAACACATAAATCCTGCAATAGGTAATAGTGTTCTATGTACATTATGTATTTAATGAGGGCACTTGCCTCCATATTCATACCATAATGCTTGCTACTTGATTGGTTTATCAGAGGCCATTTGATGAGTTGCAAGAAACTGTTACTAATATGTTAAAATGGATTAAGTAATATTCTATTTTATCTGCTGTGCGTTTGTTGCCTTACGTCAGTACTGCAGGTTACAGTACTGCAGGTTAAACACGTATTAGCAGGATATTAAGAGCTAAGTTGAGATTCTTTACTTCCTCCAAGGGTCTGTGTTATCCTGTCTTCTCTAGCATAGTTGAGAAGTGTAGCCAGAAGATTACCTTTCGATGCAGAACTGCTACAGATTGACCCAATACAGTCAGATGTTACTTAGGCTTTATCTGCTCACTTCCAGCTTATATTTTGTTCTTGTATCATTTAAGAGACTCCAAATCCAGTGAGCAATCCATCGTCCCTTTCCCATCTTCACTTACTGTTCAGTAACTAAAATTCAGGTTATTTCTTCCAGTTTGGAGGACCTTACTACTTTTCTTAGGATACACTGGAAGAAAGCTCCTGTGGAAAACAGTTCCTCAGTGCAAACTGTCAAACAACCCATTCCCTTTAAAAGATTTCTTGTACAAATTGAACCTCTCTAGTGCTGCACTCTGTGGTCCAGCAATATCAGTGGTTCGGCATGATTTTAGTTATCCACTGTCCACTTATGAGTGTGGCCAAGTTTCTGGTGGTTCCATAAAGTTTGTTTATAAAAGTGTGTTTACAGCCACCAGTCCTGGCTCTGTGTTCAGCTCTAATTTACTCCTAAATGTCTTCTAGGAGGCCAGTAAGTAGTGGAATTGTTGGTAATGCAGCTAGACAATATTGACCTCCTGTGGTTCAGCAAATTCTCAGGTTTGCACCGTGTCAGGTCCTGAGGTGCCGGACTAGAGAGGTTCAACCTCTAATACGTATTACTATTCAACATTTGTCATGTGGGGTAGAGCCTGCTTCTTTTTCCCATTAAGAGTACAAAGGTGTAACATGTAACATATTGTACAAGTCAGAAATCTAATGCTAAAATAAGTTTGGTCTACTACGCTTTTTCAATGAAAGCAGGTGACAGATTCTCTTTGTCATAGAATACTTTGTGCACCTGATAAACATTTTAGTCATTTTTATGCAACTTGCACATATTCTGCTGTTGACCTATGACGTGATGTCATTGTTGCCTTCTCGGTCACAATGCCAAGGAAGCTGTGACAACATGGCTTATCCCAATGGCCAGATCAGCGTTGCTGCTTGATCCCCCACACTGCATCCAACTTACTGGCGTGCTTTGACTTTGAAAGTAATAGGATTAATTCTCTGTGTTTTTCAAGTGGGTGGTTCACGGTAGTAAGTAGTATTTTATTAATATGTATAGGGTAAAGCAACTAGTTAAGCTAATATTTTAAATACATCTGCCTGACTTTCAGGGTTTCCAGTTTTCATATGTTAAGAGATTTTTTTTAGATTGTTTCAGTTGGACAAGAGTTGTTCAGTATCTTCTATAGCTGTGACAAGTATACATTTTTTGTGGTTTCAATACTGTATGTAGGCTATAGGTACTTTTTAATATCTAATGTCAAAATTCCCCAAATAGTAACAAATTTCACTTTAAAATGGCAAAGGCAAAATGTTTGAAAATACTTCCCCTCTTTGTCTGCCAAGTCCTGAGTTAGTAATTCTGATTTTTTTCTAACTATCATCACCATCTGCACCTAATCGAAGGTTGAGAAATGTTCAGTTTTAGATTATTCTGATTTGAACATCAATTGCAGAGTGAAATTGAAACTTGAAACTGAGATGGCAGGTAAGCAAAGAGGGGATCTGACTTTTCAGTTACTTAATTTTAAATTGGATGTGTGCATAATTCAACACACTTATTAATTTACTGTCTTGAAACTTGGTAGCTAACCATTACGTGGATTTCTGAGCACTGGTGTAAATCCTGCAGTTAGGAAAGCTGTCTCCAATGTCGTGTCTGATAATTTTGGTATCCTGTAAGTTAAATTTAACTTCATAGTGGATTATAAACAGTATTTAACGCACAAATCTTACACCAAACACATGCAACATTTATTCCACTTCTTTGTATGGGATATTTCACTTTATTTAAATGTGAAACAATAGCATTTAATAAAGTTTAGCATAAAATTGTAGGTTGATCTTTCTAAAGTTGCTGTGTTGAAAATAAGTTTTGTCACATATATATGAACCGAGACCATCCTTTTAAACTCTTGTCCTGTGCATTTGTCAGTAATTTATTTTTAACTGAAATGCAATGAGTGTCAAAGTTTGTTGCTTCAAAATACATTAGATTACTCATGGTTTCCAAGAAAGTCAGGAGCCCATTATTAACATATAGCCTTATTTCAGCCTAATAATGGGTGCACATTCTATGAAGGGAAACTCCATCAATTAAAGGAAATAAAGCTCATTTTCACGAACATATCTTATGAAAAAATACACAAACACTCCTGTCTCAGTTAACTTTGTGCACTTCTGGCAATATTTCTTTGCTCCCATTGTTGTTTTCATAGCAATCCATACAGCATGTTCAGTATTAACAGTGGCCACAGAAAAAATCTTCATAGATAGGGAATCTTTTTTTTTTTTTTTTTTTTTTTTTTTTTAAACAAGTCTCCCAAAATATGGACACATTGTTGATGTTTAACAGATGTTGATTTGGAAAATACCTTTTACTGCTAAATGAAATTTTGAAAAGAATTCAAATTTGGTCTACACTACTGACAACTGTGCCTTACAGTGTAAAATGTGAACAACATATGATGCTCATGGCTTTAGTTTTTTGAGGACTTCATATAGTTAAGACCAGACCAAACATGAATGTGGAAGCAGATAACTTAATTTAAAAGGTTCTTTATGAGAAATGGATCAATTTTGGAATTGGATAACTTAATTACTTCTCACTGAAATGTGTAAACAATGAAATGGAAATTAAATTAAATGTCCAAAGAACCATTTCTTAATTATTATGACTGGGTGTTGTGATCTTTTGATATCATCTTTGCAGTGTTTAAGAAATGGCTAAAATCTATTGCATGCCACTGGCTTGATAAGTTATGTTGCAACTACATTATTGTGCTTGTCTTTTAATGCTGCCACTCTTTGGAAGATGAGGACAAGGAAGCTCCCATACGCACTAGAAAAGATCTGGTTGGACAAGCACAGGTATGACGAAGCGGAGAGGCTCTACTATGAAAGAGAAGCCATGCTGGCAGCCTCAGCCCCTGAAAACTGCCAAGAGGTGGAGGCAGTAAACAGTGTTTGCTATGATGAGCCCCCGGAGGGTGAATTGAAAGACATGAAAGGAATTAGAAATGGGAAGAAACAAAAGAAGAGGAAGCGCTCTCCAAAAACCAGGAGTTTGGTTTGCAAGGTGGACTTCGTCCTGACGGGTTTGTTAGCTGACCGTGTGTGGTTTGACAAACCTTTCTTCGATCGCGCTGAAAATGTGTTCAGGAAGAAACTTGCAGATGACCTGACCCAGAAGGCCCCTGAGACTGACCTGGCGGCTGAGCAGCCAGCATTTGTGTCTAGGTCAGAAGAAACTATCCCAGCTGTTCATGAGCCAAGAAGGAATCTAGCAGCCATGCACTGCACCCATGCTAGTCTGATTGCTTGTCACCATGTCATCCAGGGCATCTGGGTCAACAAATTCAGCTTTGATGATGCAGAGAAGGAGTTTGTTGAAAGGTCTCAATCTTTTGTTCCTCCATGCTTCCTAGATCTTCCATCTGTACGATGGAACAGTGACTATGGTGACGTTGGTCAGAGAACTCCAGATGAAGGCTATATGACTGCTCTAGCAACGCCTGCTACACCATGTCCATCAACAGATGTTGTGATCCATTCTGGTGCCTCTTTTCTTACCAGTTTGCCAAGTCCTGCCCACCAAACGGTTAATGGCAAGCCTCAGATACTGAGCTTGCAGGCACTGATCTCGGAGGTGTGGCTGGAGAAACCTATTTATGATGATGCTGAGAGATGCTTCTATGAGAACATGACTGATGGGCATCCTCCAGGGAAAGTGAGGCCGCAAGAGCGCAGCCGTCCAGAAGCCTCGAGGAGCAGCCGAAAGGAGAAGAAAGGCCGCATTCCCGGAAAACGAATGAATGCCCGACATGTGGAGTTCACCACTGACCCGCCTCTTCCTAAAGACGCTGAGTGCCTTCCACCTACCTGGTATTTCCTGCACAAGGACAGTGAACCTTTGTGGCTTAGTAAACCCACATATGACCGCGCCGAATCGCGATATTATGCATCTGAGGCCCTGGAAATGTTGAGCAGACAAGATAATGCAAGGGTTCCGGAATTCATGCTAGCAAAACCAACTCAACCTGCCTCTCGTGCTGCAGGCGTGCCCGCATCAGAAACTAAGTAGGAAAAGCTTATTCTGGGGTAACACTCAAGCTCTGAAAATTGATGGTTCAGGATTGAGCTGAAAGAATTTTGCATATGTAGAAGGCAAGCTCCCAGTGGGTCTGCAGTGCCAAATACAGCCATGGTGCTCCAGTCATTGAGCCAAGGGTCCTGTTTTAACCTGTGTCAGGCTTCACTTTACCAGCACGGTTATTGAAGGGGGTAATCCTTTTTAAAGTAGCTCACCCTTATGAGTGGTGATAATTAATCCTCAAACACCCCTGTGAGGTTGGTATTTAGCTGGAGCCAGAGAAGTTAATTTGCTCAAGATCAGAAAGAACTGAAGTCAGAGGAGGGGTTAGAACTCATGACTTTTAAATTCTGATCTCCAATTCGTGCTCAGAGCCTTTAATCCCAAAGTGCTTTTCTGGTAGAAAGGTGAAGGGGGTAACCATAGTGGTGGAGGGTGGGGGCAGGTGACTCAGCCCTTCATCATTATGAGTTTTATAAACTCGATATGAGGCAGATCTAGCAGTAACTTTTTGGGGGCTCAGACCATTAGAATAGATAGCGTGTTTGTGGTGCATGGGTATAAAGATCCATTGAACTCCACAAAAGAAGGGTTTTGCTCCAGTGACTTTGACCAAGATTGCCACAGAACTTGCTGTGTGTAGCTTGTCAGCTGGCCTCCACCCAAGAAATGGATGTTTTTTTGTGGCACTGTATATATTCAGTTTGTGGAGAAGTGTTGAGATCCTTCAGGATGAAAGGTGCCATTTGACTCCCAAAATAGGCCCAACTTTGGCAGGAGACAGCAGGTGCTTCCTATGCATAGCTGAGGGAAAAGCTAGTTTAGTTAATTTGATAAGTTATTTTGTCTGAAGGTGAGTGTTTAATCTGGGCAAGTTAGAAGGTGAGCTAGATAATAATTAACAAATATTGAACTGGGAAGGGAGATGAATTTTTAAAATGCAGAAATATCCAAAGTTATTGGCTCTGATTAGTCTGATTGGAACAGTAATTGTTTTTTAAAGGCTGGAACGATTTGAAAACTTCCTGTTTTAGGTGAGTGCAGAACAGCGTTTTTTGTTACACGATCCACTGAACATGAAACAGTGTATTTTGAATTTACATAATTGCATTCTATTTGCGGAACCCAAGTTTTTCTACTTGTGGGGAAGTGATCAATCCAGCAGGGGTCAATGCAATCCAGCAGGGGTCGATTTATCATGTCTAGTACAAATGCTATAAATTGGTCACCATTTGCTCTCTTGTTGACTCAGTACTATCCCAGAACAAGAAGCACAAAGGGAGTTGACAGAACATTTCCTGTCAACTCACCCCTGTGAAGACACTTCAGTAAATAGATTGAAGTACAGGCAGTCCCCGGGTTACGTACAAGATAGGGACTGTAGGTTTGTTCTTAAATTGAATCTGTATGTAAGTCGGAACTGGCGTCAGCCGCT